TGAACCCAGGTCCTCTGCAAGAGCAGCCAGTGCTCTTAACTGCTGAGCCATCTCTTCAATGCCTATCTTTGTTTTTTATTTTTAAAATTTGTTGGTGTGTGTGTGTGTGTGTGTGTATGTGTATATGTGTATGTTGTGTGTGTGTAGGTCAGAGGACAACTTTAAAAAAATATTTTCTTTTTTTTTTTGGTCTTTTTTGAGACAGGGTCTCCCTGTAGCCCCAGCTGTCCTGGAACTTGCTATGTAGACCAGGCTGGCCTTGAACTCAGAGATCCTCCTGCCTCTGCCTCCGGAGTGCTGGGATTAAAGGCATGCAGCACCACGCCCAGCTTTATTTCTATTTTTTATGTATATGAGTAAATTACCTACATGTGTGTAAGTGTACCCATGTCATACAATGCCCTTGGAGGTCAGAAGAGGGCATCGAGTTTCCCTGGCACTGGATTTATAGATGGTTGTTAACCACAATGTGGGTGCTGGGAATTGAGCCCAGGTCCTCTGCAAGAGCAGCCAGTGCTCTTAACTGCTCAGCCATCTCTCCATCCCCAGTCCTTGCTTCTGGTGTGGGGAAGGGGTAGGGATGCCTGGCTGCCCTTGCTTGATGTGAGGAGAGTGGAGTGAGGGCCTCTGGCTGACACCCTGTCATGGCTGAGACCCTGTCAGGAGAGGGCTTCTGTCACAGAGCAAGCTCTCTGGCCTGGTGCTGCTGTGAGTACTTTTGATATTCACGCTCTTCAGTAGGCTGGGCTTTACAGTATCTTTTGAAGATAGAGATGTGGCCAACACAGCTCTGGCCGCCTTGGTGGCCTGACCCTGAGCCATCCTCCTTAGTTGCCACCCCGCTGGTGTGGAGAGGCCCCACTGGAGGCTGCTGTCTCACCTGTATGTCTCTCCCTGCAGGGCACCAGCTGTGGTCAGCAACGGGGATGCTGTGGGTGCAGCTTTCTCTGGGGTCCGATGCTCGAGCTGGAAGAGGAAGAGCTCACGTCGTAGTAAGTCTTCTCTGGCTCCCTAACACCTGCCCACCTGCTGCCCGCCCCAGGTAGTGCCAGGATGATCTCATAGTTTCTAGGCTAAGACTTGGCATGGGAGCTGGAGAGTCAGGTGACATGCCTATGCAGAGGATTGCATGGATTTGGCAGCTGCCTGTGGTGGCCTGTCCACCAAAGTCCTGCAGCCTACATCCAGCTGTTCTCCTGCCCCTCAGATGCAGGCTTCAGGAAAAGCCCCACCAGGTGGCCGGGTGGGCGGAGCTCCCTGGTGATTAAGAGAACCACCTTCAGAAGCTGGTGGTTCCCAGGGGAGGGTCAGCCTGAGTAAGAGCTGGGGTCCAGGGGATGCCAGGCTCCAAGGGAGGCAGCAAATGGCTCATGCTGGTGGGATGAATTTAGGGGTGAAGCTGGCAGACTGCTAGCCCCCCCTCCCCGCTCCCCCCAGCCCTTCTGAAGGCAAATGAACTGGCCGTATTCAAAGTTCAGTTTCCTTACTGGGAGTGGGTAAGGACATGAAGCAAGGTGGGGATGGGGAGGATCCAGGGGCAGGGACTGTCACAGCCATCCAGGGAGGGAGTCTGAGGGCCCAAATGAGGAGCTCAAGAAGATGGTTAGTCTGGACCCCCTGGGGAGCAGGAAGGATAGGAGTAGAAAGAGGGAGTCAGAGGTGAGGACTCAGAAGCCATCACTTTGAAGAGTGGACACCAAGACTTCTTCCCAGGAGTCCTGGGAGGCTGGACAGACTCCTGAGGCAAGTGGGGCTGGATTCCCCAATCTAGCTTTGCCTGGTCCCAGGGTCAGGCACAGGTGAAGGTGGCCAGGGTGAAGGTCTGTGGACGGCAGGTTGGGGTCAGTGGGGGCACTGGGAAGGGTGACTTGGAGGGCCAGGGCCCAGAGGGAAGTGGGGGATTGTGTCCCTGATGGTGGTAGTCAGGACGCACGGACGGCTGCCAGCCAGTCAATCTTCCTGGCAGCCGCTGTAGCTCACAGAAGTCCCCTTTCTCCCCTTCACTGCCAGTCGATCGGTTCACTTTTCCTGCACTGGAAGAAGATGTGATTTACGACGACGTCCCCTGTGAGAGTCCAGACGCCCGCCAGCCTGGTATGGTCCTGTTCTAGTTTGGATTCCCTGTTGCTGTGATAAACACCATAACCAAAAACAACTTAGGGGAGGACAGGGTTTACTTCATCTTACAGTTTACAGTTGGAGAGCACAGCTTACTGGCTTGCTTTCAGATCACAGTCAGCTACTGCTCCGACCCAGGCGGGGGCCCACCTGCCTACGGATAGCACCGCCCACAGTGGGATGGTCCCTCCTACCTCAATTAGCAGTCAAGAAAATGCCCCACAGACATGGCGACTAGCCAGTCTGTTGGAGAAGTTCCTCAGTGGGGGTTTCCTTCTTCCTAGGTGTGTCAAGTTGACAACCTAAGCTATAACAGGCCTCTTCTGGTTTCTTTACTTCTGTCTGGGACAGGGAGGGATGGAGGGAAGGTGGGTCTGGGGAAGGTCTCCTTCCTCTACTTTCTCCCACCCAGCCCAGTGTTCCCTGTCCCTGCCTTTCATATGCCATGTGGCTACAAAGGTAGAGACTTGCTGTGGCATCAGGTATGGACAAGCTAGGCAGGGCAGGGTAGGGTTTGGGGGTCTTTTGGGCAGGATGGCACTCAACCACAGATCCCTGAGGAAGGTCATCTTACCTCTTCATGCCTTGATTTCTCCCTCAGGAAAAAGAGGTTCAAACTTCCCAGGGCAGTGGAGGAAGATGACAGGGTGTTCAACCTGAAGGGTGACATAGACAGGGCTTGGCAAAGTCCATCTGCCTGCTCTGAGTTGAAGGTAGAGGAAGGGACAGGTAGTGGTCCCTGTGGTCGCAGGGAAACACCAGCTGGGGTCTGGTGGAGCTCTCCTGCCCAGAGGAGGAGTGTGGATTGTTGTGACAGCTGGCTCCGCTTCGACATTAAGCCCAGCTGCCCCATATACACAGGTGCACTTGTACATGCACACATGCATACACATGTACACATACAAATGTGCATACATATAGATGCACATGCACATGCGCACATATACACATGCATGCATGGGTAGTACTGAGGATCCAACCCGGGACCTTGTGCATGCTAGGCAAGCACTCTACCATTGAGCTGAATCCCCAGCTATTGATTTTTCAGGTCAAGTTCTTGCCATGTAGCAGAGGCTGACCTTGAACTCATGATCTTCATGCATCAGCCTCCTGAATCAGGTATGGTTACCGGCATGGACCATAGTAGGTCTGCTTTTTAAATTTTGCCATGTGATCTGCTCCAACACTTTTATTTGGGGTTTTAGATCTTTATTTTATAATCAAAGATGATGTGGGTGGCATTTTTTGACAGATGAAGCATATTTGATTCTCCTATAGAGTCAGTCAACCCCTTGAAGCAGGCAGGGTGGTACTTGGGGCTCCAGTCTCATCAGCGAGGTCAAGCTGTCATCCCCAGATCACATAGTCAGGGTTTGAACTGATGACTCTGCTTATCCTGCTCTACTTTTCTGCCTGTTGGCTCTGCTAGTGTTCCTGATGAGGTTCTGGTGCTGGCCTGCCTTAGCTGGAGCTTGGCAGACAGGCTGTCAGCTACAGTGCAGGCCATATACACCGACGGATACACAGAGCCTGGGTTCAAATCTCTGCTCTGCCACTGATTTTGACACTGTTCTTTGGGCCTAGCCCTCTTCATATCGAGGCAAGCTGTTCCCTAAATCACAGGGCTTTGGGGAAAGTCACCCAGAGAAGTGCTTAAAGCCTGGGCCTCAGCTCTTGGGGTCCCCGGTTATGATGTAGATCCCACGAGATGGTGACAGGCACTGAGCAGGTAGGGTGAGAACTTTGGACAGAGACCTTAACCTTAGTGCGAGTGAAGGTTCAGGCATGTGGAAGCTGGGGACCCCCAAGAGCTGCCCCGCTGAGGGGTTGGTACTCATGTCCCACCACAGGCTCCAGGATTCTGTGGCCCTGTTTCCAATGAAGAAAGTGGTTCTGAGAACTCTTGGGGTGATCATGGGGGTTGTGGGGTTCCCAGCAGACGGCAACACGA